GAAATCCAGCAAGAACAGTTGATTTCTGTAATGTTCAAAATTCTGAAATAAGTGCTAAAATGATGAGAAGGATGAGAAGTTTAACTAATATATCGAATGGTCATGATGGGACATCATTATTATGCGTAACTGTAATATCTCAGGCGCTATAGCAATTTTCCAATGCAACCAGTGTAGTATTGAAGACAAACAAAAGATATGGCTCACATAACATACATAATGTCATGTGATCCCTTTTAACATGCATAAATTTAATATCTTGAGCACTGTAAACAATAGGTGTAATAATGAAAGCAATAGATATGACAATATATGGTCGTTGGTCTAATTAATATGCATAACTAATACCTAGAGAATATTGCAGATATGCATGTGCAACCAATGACGTAATAATAAAGACATTGAAAGAGAAATATGACTGATATATCAAACCTTATTATTATGCATATCTGTAGTACTATATGCAAGAGGTTAATAGGGTTCAGACAATATATGGTTGGGATAGATCATTGAATATGTCGAATTCATTGCAAATCATCGGTGTAAATGCTTGAACAGCCCACTTTAAACAGATTTTGCTAATTTACGCTGCTCTTAATGTCTTTAAAGCCATTACCGGGTAATTGCTACTTTGCAGTTATATCTTTGCAGTTACCCTGTCTGTATGTGTGTGTATGTCCGTCTGTTCCACTGATATCTCAAGAACCATACATCATTTTTTTATGAAACTTGGTGCATAGATGCTCTGGGCCAATGCGCAGATTTGATTAGAAATCCATGCATATTAATTACCTAATTTGCATGATAATTAGCTCATTTGTAGCTGTTCCATGACTGTTCCGGTGATATCTAAAGAACCACTCATTGAATTTTGATGAAACTTTGTACATAGATGCTCTGAACTTATGCACATATTTGATTCCACTTTTTGTTCCACTGATATCTAAAGATCTATTGCCAGGTTTTGATGAAAATCTGTGCATATTAATTACCTAATTTGCATAATGATTAGTAAATTATCATCACATTTCAATGAAACTAGGTACCTAGATGTCATAGGACACTGCACAGACCTGGTAGTTTTTAGGGTAATATCAGTACATATTAATTATCTAATTTGCATAATAAATTAATTTTCAGCTTTTGATATTTCAAGTAGTAAGCATTACATTTCAATGAAACATGGTACATAGATACTCAAGAACTATGCAGAGATCGATTGTTTTTGGGATAAATATTTGTGCATCTTAATCACCTAATTTGCATAATTAATTAATTTTCGGATTTTCACGTATATCTCAAGTACTAATCAACACATTTCAATGAAACTTGGTACATAGATCCTCTAGGACTATGCAGAAACCTGATTAGTTTTGGGGTAAAGTTTCTGATAGCCTTTGGTTCTGGCTTAGCAGGATAGCTCGAAAAAGTTTTGGATAGTTCTCATAACATTTCTAGGAGGGGGCTGCCTTTGATGCAAGCATGATCCCATTTAATTTTGATACACATATGGCTATGGTTACCATGGAAACGGCAATTTCGTGAATGATATTTATTTATTGCTCAGAAGGTTATGGATAGACTCTCATAACATTTCTAGGAGGGATCGCTATGTTTACAATTTTGATGTCAATACAATTAAACCAAATGGCGACTGTCATATCATCGACCGAATATTTTTTTAATTTCATTATTAGCTTCAAAATGCTGGTGGTCATTTTTTTTTTCATTTCATTTCCTCACCCCTTTCTCCGACACTCTTAGTCAATCGTACCAATTTTGTTGGTCTTGCGTTTTTTGTTTTTATTTTAACGGAAGCCTAAATCAGAATGTCTAAGATAACTAGGTTCTTTGTATTAAATCAAAGCTTGGTATATTAACAGTATATGATGACAAATTGTTGCAGGTATACACGTTATTTATATTTGTAATCAAATTCAATGTCAAACTTCTATTTATAGACAGGGACTATGTCATTTACACGGACTTGTTTTTACATATTTTGGTTTATAACTAACAACAATCACATAACGTGATATTATGCAACTTCCTTTATAATATATTATGCACGAGGACGGCTGCAACTTGCATAATATCATCGTAAGGACGTACTATCAGCTGTCGAGAAAATACACACCAGTTACGTCATCGTGTATCATTATTCCATAATTCAGTGTTTCTGAGGAAACACAATTCATAAGTATAAATAAATAACGCAGACACCAAAAAAACAGGATCGTTGATTTTTGTACAAAATAAAATACTACATGATTGTCAACGGCATTGGTTATTACAACGCTAATGAACATATATAAAAGTCCCAGCGTGGGCCGGGTTTGAGGGATATTTGAAAGATATATAGTGTCCGGCCAAATAGCGTTCGTTTTCAAGAGTTGCAGAGTCTCGAAAGAAATGATTCTGTGTTTGTTTTTTTCAGTCTGAAAGGGGGTTTTCAATTGAGGTCTGCGTTCAGCGTGGCCGGCAACTGAAACGATTGTGATTTCTATGAAAGGAGGAGGCGGGTCACTCGTACCATACAAAACAAATGACAACTTTAAAACCATGTAAATGAGAAACCATTTTTTTATTTTGGCTGTTTTGGCGCGATTATGTGCAACCCTATTATATCGCTAACGTAACACATTTCGGATACATTTGTATCAAGTATATTTCAACTGTCATTAAATAATATCAGTCGTTGAATAGTAATAGAATAATCTCTAGCCTTCATTTCTAGGTGTCAGTCACTAATTCGGAAATCCACACTATCGAGAAAACCCAGCGAAGCTCACAAATATGGATACTACATAATGGAGTTTATATATTGCTGACGTGTAGTGAGTGGGAAATGAACCAGGAGTAGGGACAGACTGCGAAGATAACACGATAACAAAGTACGTTAACACCGTATGGGGCGTGCACCTATCAAGCCTGTTATCTACAGGGAGGCGAAACACATCAGACCCACCTTTAAGGTTAATAACGCCTTTGATTCATTATATATTGACTTCGCGTCACCGCTGTTTCGTGGTTTTCCTCTCGTTGTCCGTTAATAATAATACGCGTTATAATGCCCGTTGTTGTTGTCGTCCTCGTCGTCGTTGTTGTTGTTGTTGTTGTGTGCCTAGCAATCATTATTGATTCACTAAATTTGTCCATGTTGGAGAGGGGCGAGAGTTTGGTGAAGTAGAACAGTGACAGTCGTGGTTATCAGGCGCCGATTTAGAGGGGCCGACCGATCTCTTTCATCGATGTTTTAGTTTTAGGGAATTGTTGTGTAAATATATTTATTATCTTCCGAACCTAATGTATCGAAAACCATGTGCTTTATCTCCAACACCATAATTTATATCCGGGTGCTATTTTACTATGCACGTGTTATATACCGGTATATGTTGCACTAAATTCACAGTAAGTACTGTGAAATTCATTGTTTTTGCACAATATCTAAATGCATATTCTTGATTGTGATCTTATCACAATACAATACATTTTATTTCTGAGTACATGTTGAACCGTGACATATCGATGCATCGTGACAGAAAACACGCTCTGTCGAAACTCATATAAATCTACCAACAACTTGAAGTGACCAATCAAAA